ACAAGTAGACCAACAAATATTAAAACCCAAACAAATGCCTTCTGTTATAACACTTGTAAAGTCTTTTTGATCAAATGTAACATCTGTGATTAAAAAAAATGAATAGGGGATAAAAAACAAGTTTTAATTCCAGGATGGTTTAAAATAGCCAGCTTGCCATGGAGATGACATACAGTTTAAGAGCAGTTGCTTTGAAGTGAGACTGCCTGATGATTTCGTATTTGTTCTCCACCTCTTAACTGGGTGTAGTGTTGGACAAATCACGATCTCATTAGGCATCAGGTTTCTCATCTGTAAATGGGGATAACAGCACCTATTTCAAAGGGTTGTTCTGAGGATCAAGTATGATAATGACTATCATGTCCCTAGCACTCAGTGTTAGCTATTAATGCCTGAATGCTCAGGGTTCTCGCATCCCTGGTTTCCATACATCTAGCAGGAGGGTTCAAGACAAGAGTACATGGTGCTTGCTGTTAGGCTGCATCATTTCCAGCTTCAGTCCACACCACCATCCGAAAGGGCAGCAGGGAGCTTTGAGCCCAGTGTGCTCTGAGGAAGACCACCCCTCAGTTTTTCCATCACAAGGATCAACAGGCCATCCCAGAACTCTGCAGCGCTCCCGCAAAGACCCTGCCACCCTTTTCTACCACCCAATATAAAGCCATGTCACAACTTTATGCCTCAAAACCATTAAAGTGAATTTCATATATCCTAGATTCCCGTTAATTTTATAACCACAAGAATCCTCATGTTATGGCCCTTAACATCCTCCTTTCTGGACCCATATTCCTTCCCCAACTCCTAAAACACTTCCACTGTGCCCTGGGAAACTCAAATTCAACCATCAGTAAAATTCCCCAAAGTCTTTAACTTCTCTTAACTTTCAGTTTGCCTCCTTGTTCTAGTTGAAACTACTTCCCTTGAATTTCAGGAGGTCACTTTTTTCTCCTACGTCCCTCACACCAAGGGGCCCGCAGATAGGACAGATGTTCTCCTTAATCTTCAATGCGACTCTAAGACCACTTTCCACTTTCTCTAAAACTTCTCACTTTGAATCTTGTATCGACCTATACCATCTGCTGTCTCTCACTGGAAATCAACCTGTTTTCTCACCCTCAATCTTGGGGTCATTCATGTCATTGATGCTTCCATTACAATTCTTGATTTCAATGTCTGTCTTACGTTATTTTTTTCTAGTTTCTCCGTTCTTTCTCCAATCTTGTTCTCCAGACTATATTGGCCACTTACTCTCATAAAATCCTAGTTTTTGTCACTAACAATGCCCATAATCCTTCCTTAATACCAATTTCAAGCATCCAACTCTGACCACCATCACTTATTTTTCTAGCTCATGCCCTTTCACATCCTAACTAGCAATTCCTTCATCCCACCAAGTCCTTCAGTCTATTGGTCATACCATTTTTGCACTTTTCCTCATTCCCTTGAAGTCCTCATTCCTCTTCTTAACCAATTTGAATTCCTCGACCGGTCCTTAAAGTTGCTCTTTTTCATACATCTTCAACTTCTTTGCCATCTCTGGCCTTGATATATTGCCGGGAAAAGTGAAAACTTGGTTAGATCCTGCTTTCTCCTGCGGCACAGCTATGTCTGCAAAGCTAAAGTTGACCGGGGAGAATCGCCATGACTGTTCTCATTTCAGTTCACGACGACCGACCTCAAGTAGGCCCTTGACGCTGCTGGCAATCACACCGCACTTTCCTCGTCCACTGATTGATTCTCCTGAACTAGTTCAGGCTTTCTCCCCAAAATGCCCGTATCTCCTTGTCCTTACTGTCAGCTGATGACCTTTCTATCTCATTGAGAAAATGTAGAAGTAATCAAAGACCTCACAAGCTCCCCCTTACTAGCCACTCTCCATATGCCTTTGCTCCTGCAACTGTCTCCTTAAAGCCAATGCTCTACTTGCGGACTAGATGTGATCCTTAATTTAACCTGTCTGAGCACCCTGTTTCATTTTTTTTCTCTCCCACACCATCATTTGTTTCCTTTCAAATAGCTTGTTCCCCTCAGCATCCGAATAATATGCTGTTACTCCCTCTCATTATAAACCCTCTTGACCCCGCTCCTCCAGCCACTGCCCATTCCTCCGCTCCACTTCACTGCCAAACTCCATGCAAGAGGTGTCTGCCCTCACCATCATCAGTTTCTTACCATTCTTTCTGGAGCTCACTCTAATCAGGCCGTGGAATTACTCCGTTGAAATTGCCCTTGTCCAGGGCATCAGGGTTCTCGAGTTGCTAAAACCAGTGAACAATTCTCAGTTCTCACCTTACCTGACCCATCGGCAGCATTGAACTCAGTTGTTCACTTCCTTGCTGCAATGCTTTTCTTCACTTGGCTTCCAGGACGCCACAGCTTCCCTTCTACGACAATGGTGATGCCTCTTTGGTTTCTTGTTCTCTCATCTCTTCTTGATGTTAGAGTGCCCTGAGGCTCAATCCCAGGGCCTCTACTCTATTCACCCACTTCCTATGCTGATTACTCCCATTTGTACGTCTCAGTCTCAGATTCAGGATTTTCTATTCCGTTACATTGATCTCTGTATCTTTTTCTTAGCCAGTGCTCACTGTTTTAATTATTACATTTAATTATCTGTTTAAAAATATATATATATAGTTACATAGAAGAGAGAAAGACAGATAAACTTAATACCAGAATCCAGGGGGATGTATTTACTTTATCCTATAGCTTTACAGGTGTTTTAGTGAAAAGCTGAGAGATGCTGCACCTGGGGCTACCAGCCAGAGGCCACTTAAAGAATTCAATCCCAACCTTCACAAAAGGATGCTTTGGAATAGTTCTAGGAGTAATGGTGAACCGGTGTCTTTAAGGGATCTGAAGAAAGGTTTGGGCCTCTAGAGAAGCTCTTAGCAGCCATTCCTTACA